GAAAGTAGGTGGGCTTGGCATTGGGGGAAGGAATGTTCCACTGCAGGTTGAGTGATGCAAGGGCCCCAGGAAGGGTAGATTTCTGAGTGGGAATTTGCCCCTAGTGAGCAGGTCTCAGACTGTCCCTGATGGGGCCAGCAGGCAAAGCTGATGGAATTGTTGCTCAGTGCTTGGAGAGAGAAAGGGGAGGAGAGCACTGTACCACCAGGATGTATTTCCTACCTTCATGTGTCCTCAGGTAAACCTGGAACCCAGGCCCAGCTCAACCATGCAGAGCTTAGTGAACTTTGGGAAATCTCTTCTCTAGGCCTCAATTCCCTCATCGACAGATTGAGTCTATAATAGTATCTACCTTGGGTGTTGTGAGGATCAGAAATGTTGTATGTAAAGCTCCTAGTATATAGTAGGTGCTTAATACACAGTAGCCATAATTTTTATTCCTGCTACCATGCTGGACTAGGCTGGCCTAAGAAATTGCTCACTTCTACTCTCTTTGGAGGATTTGTTGCCAGTTGGAACAAGACACTGAAATTTAAGACTTTGCCCATCATCTTTTCGTATACATTTGTCAAAGGTGGCCTGGCAGTCAGATACGTAAAAACTGGTTCTCAGTTTTCATTGTACATAGTTCTCTGTTTTGCTGGTCACTTCAGCACTCGAAAAAAAGCATGTCACCTTTTGGCTGGTGGTGACATCTAGAAGATTGATTGAGGAAGCATTGGAGGAGCAAGGGTTAAAAATGAAGTCAGGAACTGCTGACTTAAAAAAAAAAAAAAAAAAAAAAGAAAAGGCCAGGCTCAGTGGCTCATGCCTGTAATCCCAGCACTTTCAGAGGCAGGAGGATCACTTGAGCCCGGGAGTTCAAGACCAGCCTGGGCAACATGGTGAAAACCCATCTCTACAAAAAATACAAAACTCATCAGGGTATGGTGGTATACACCTGTAATCTCAGCTACTTGGAAGACTGAGGCAGGAGGATCGCTTTAACCCAGGAGTTTGAGACCAGCCTGGGCAACACAGGGAGACCCCATCTCTATTACAAAAATTTTTAATGAAAAAAAGAGCATCCCCTCCTCCATCCCTCCAGCTTACCAACAGCCTCCTGCTCTTACTCCTCACTCTTGTGTCGTGTCTTATAACTGGTCAAAGTGCTTTTGCCTATTTGATTTCCTTTGCTCCCTACCCTGGCCTGTGAGGTAAGTAGGGAAGATATTGGCTACATCTCAGAGGGGCTAAGACAGTGACAGAGCTGGTACTAGAACCGACGTCACCTTGTGATGGAACAGAAGTGAACCATGCCCTGTTGACTTGTACCTTGGATGAGTGGGTTAGGAATCTGTGAGGAAATGATGCACAAGTTTTGGGGACAGCTGTTTTGCAAGGGGACGGTGATAACAATACCCTATTGTTTTAGCGTGCCCAGCAGAAACGGGTGGCAATGCTCCTGTTGTGCTGATGAGCGAACTGCAGGCCCAAGGTCAGCGGAGGAGGACTTTCTGGGGTGTGAGTGACACAGAGAGGTGTTTTTCCCCTTTTCAAGTTGTTTCGAATGATAGAAGACTTTGCCTGGGGCCACTCAGCTTGGGAGCAGCAGAGCCCCCAGAACTGAGAGTTTGACTTGGGTTTGAAGTCAGTTCATTTCTCCCCTTGCCTTTTCTCATAGAGGTGTTGAGAGGATCAAGAGTGGAAAGGACAAATCAGTGTGTAACGGCATTAAAGGAAACTGCCTAGCATTCTCCTTTTTCAAATCTAATTGGCCTCCACGTGAGGGCCACAGAGAGCAAATACTTTGGCTAAGCTGATCTGTTTGCGCGCTCTACTTCTTAGCTGTGTGAAGATATCAGATCTTGCTTGACAGGTTGTAAGAATGAAATAAGCAGCATATGTGAAAGTGTTTTGCAAACTATGAAACAGTACTATCATTGAGAGCTTTAAGGAGTCTTTGCTTCCGGGAATCCACCAAACCCAGCTCACTCTAGGACCCTGAAGGAACTCGCCTCTGGTGGGAGTAGTGAAGGTGGTGCTTTTTTGGTTTCTCTGGCAGTCAGGCAGACTGAACAGGGAAGGAAAATGGAGGAAGATGGGCTTGCTCACCACCTCCGTCTTCTTATTCCCCAGCTGAGGGGGCAGTGGCGGGGGAGCTGGCCTAACTTTTTCTTTGGTGAGTCAGCTAAGAAGGAATTTCTAGAGCTCCAGTGATGTAGACATAGTTGCTTTAGTTTAGATTTTTAAAGCTGCTCCTCTTTGAAGCAGCTTTAAGACACAGCTAAAAGCACAAGCAATTGGGAAGCACATGGAAAATGACAGTAGCATAACATCTTACCAGTGTGAACTTAAAGAAATCAGTTTCGCAGGGTCCTTGTATTAACAGTGTGGGAAAGTGCCTGGCACATACTAGGGGCCAGATATCTGTCCATTTCCTTTCCCTTCTCAGTGGACAGACTGCAGTCACCTGAGCTAACGGAAAGCACTTAGTCTTTAGTTGCCTGAGTTTATTATAATAGGTGCCATTATTCACTTAATCCTCACAGCCCGAAGAAAAGGCAGTTCAGACTTTTATTGCCCAAGGTCACATCACACAGCCTGTAATTTTTAATTTTCTTGTTTTGGGGGTGCATAGTAGGTGTGAGGAAGGAGACCCAGGCATCTGGGATCACCTCCCCCTCGACTTCCACAATGCATTTTAATAGAATAAAAAAGTAGGCCAGCTGGCGCCTCCTGATCCACCTTCCTGTAAATAACATGCTTGGTATTGGGGAAACTTTCCGGAAGACACTTTTTACTTAAAACAAGATCAAACCCCCACCCCACTCCTCGGTCCGGGGACCAGAACCTTTTCACATGTGATTTCTAAAACTCTAAACCCGAAATCCTTTCACATGTGGTTCCTAAAGCTGTAAATCCAAAACCTTTTTCACTCATGATATCTAAGGCTATAAACTTAAGATTCTTCCACGTGTAATATCTAGAGCGTAAGCCTATATAAAGGCAGAACCTTCCTTTGTTAAACGAGCTGGGTTTTAGACAAATCATCGCCTGGCTCCCAGACGTAATAAACCCCTTTTCCTTCCCATTCAGTGTTCGAGATCCCTGTTTTTCGCGGCTGCTCCTGCTACAGGTGTATATATTTATGGGGTTCCTGAGATGTTTTGATACAGGCATGCAATGCATAACAATCACATCATGAAAAATGGGATAGCTATCCTGTCAAGCATTTCTCCTTTGTGTTAAAAATTATACTTTTAAAATGTGCAATTAAATTATTGACTATAGTCACCCTGTCGTGCTATCAAATAGTAGGTCTTATTCATTATATATTTTTGTATCCATTAACCATCCCCATCCCCCCAACCCCTCCCTCCAGTGCCCTTCCCAGTCTCTGGTAACCAACCTTCTACTATCTCCCTGAATTCAGTTGTTTTATTAGCTCCCACCAATTAGCGAGTTTGTCTTTCTTTCAGCCTGCAATTTTTAAAGCCAGAATTCAAACCCACCTTGTCTGGTTTGCCTCTTAGATATCAGGATGTATGAAGGGGTTTAATTGAGCTGGACCCTCTGGAAGGGCCAATCTTAAATGGACTTGGACCAAGGAGGTAACTCCAACTTGGCTCATTTGAGAATAAACTCAGGGTGGAGTTTCAAGAGCAAGAAATAGGCCATTGCTAGAGGCAGGCTAGGAACCATTGAAAGAGAGCGGAAAATGATGCTTTCCAGATCTTTGGGGAATTTAATCTGTGCTCTCTCAGTTTCAGGAGCTTATGTTGTGAGGGTGAGATGACTCCTCTCATTAAGCAGTATGCAAATAGATTATCGGTGGTCTTCTATCATCTCCCACGAAACACAACCTCCCCCTCATCACCTGACAGCCCTCCACTAACCAGCCTATAAACGAGGGAACTGAAACTCCTTTTCAAACCCCTCTCCTAAGCTAGACTGCAGAAGCTAGGAGGGCTGAGTCATCTTCCACTTAAAAGAAAACCCATGTAACAAAGCCACAGAAGTATGCTTTCTGTGCAGATCATTTGTTTCAACACATGGCTGCTTTTATAGGATACCAACGCAGGAACTGAGGACACTTGTCTTCTCTCTTCCCCAGAAAGTAGGTGCCCTGCAGTGTCATCTGTACTGTCCCCCTCCTCCACACCCATTATCTGCGTGATTGCAGGCACCTCACTAAGCAGCCAAATGACCACCGTGGCACATTTACCCAGGCCATTAGTTTGGATTGTGCCAGGTATCTCGCAGCATAGGCAATAAGGACCAATGGGAATTAGGCTGGCCAGGCTCGGTGGCTCATGCCTACAGTCCCAGCACTTTCAAGGCCGAGGCAGGTGGATCACCTGAAGTTGAGTTTGAGACCAGCCTGACCAACATGGTAAGTAAGGACTCGTCTCTACTAAAAATACAAAAATTAGCTGGGTGTGGTGGTGGGCGCCTATACCACCAGCTACTTGGGAGGCTGAGGCAGGAGAATCGCTTGAACCCGGGAGGCAGAGGTTGTAGTGAGCCAAGATTGTGCCATTCCACTCCAGCCTGGGCAACAGAGTGAGACTTGTCTCAAAAAAGTTAGGCTATGGTCTGAGGCTGCTCTTGACCCCAAGGGATATATGGTAATGTTTGCATGACGGTAAAGACCCTGGCCTCAGATACACACACAAGGATGACTCTGTATCTCTCATTTCTTCTGGCCAAGCTAGGACAAGGTAGATAGGACTGGGAAGTAGACTACATCCCTTTGCGGTCCATTACCTACAGCTATAGTTTCTGAAAATAGCACTGTGTGGCACAGAAAGCTCTCCCCTTATAGAATGCTGGATTGCTTCATGGTGCAGGGTGTTACTTACATGGCTTCATATCATATGCCTAGTAGGAAGAATGCCTGGGCAGATCTGATGCTGGACAAATTCACTGCCCTCATCAAAGGGCATCTCCCCATAGGCCCAGAGACTCAGAGCTCAACGCCCCCACTCCCCCATCAAAAAAAGCAGCTGACAGCCATATTTCTGCACAGGCTCATGTAATAGAGGAGACTTTTATTTTTTCAGAGAATTCAGACAGCCATTGATTATACAGAGCCATTTCTCAGCACTCTTTTCTTTCTATGTAAGAAATCAGAATACAACATGATGAGGATGATGATGCTAAAACAAGACTGCTGGTTCACATCACCTAGGATACAAATACACACTTAATCACTTGACACTTTATTGAATGTAAAGCAAGATTTAGCATCTTTGCCTTTGTTGTACATAGCTGCAGTGGGAGCCCAGGGAGGGGAGGACTGCATGATTTTTCTTGGCGGGGGAGGTGTGCACCTTGCAGTCCTGTGGTGTTGTCTGTGGTGTTGTGGGAAGATCAGCCCATGTTCTGTCGGTTGCCATAGCCCCTAGGATGGGTGTCCTTCCAGTCATCCCACTCCCGAGCTCTGTACAGTGTTTGTTCATCGTCGTCTTCCTCCTTTTTTTCTTGATTTTCCTGTTGCTGAGCTGCTTTTCTGAATTCTTCTAAAAGTGGAAAAATTAGAAAGGGAGGTGAGAAATTGAGGGAATGTTAATAAGTAACGTCAGGGGCCTCAGTTCCACTCTGAGCACAACCACATGCAATGAGAACAGGAATACAGCCAGCTGCCTACCCTGGGCCCAGCGGAAGCAGGGAGAGCACTTGCATTACCTAATATATATCGCATGTTAAAAAATAGTACCAAAGGATGCTCTGAGTGGTTTCCACAAGAAGGCAAAAATCATAAAAGGTGCCCCTCAGAATGAATTCTATTTTGGAAGAGAATTCTTGCAAAAAACAGCCAACAGCCCCCTGGTCCAAAAACACAACACTACCACCACCACCAAACACCACCAGCATTCCAAAAACACGGAAGTAAAAAATATTTATGAATTTGTGATTTGTGAGTTGCCGGGGTGGGGGGTGGGATTGATTGCCGTTGACGTTTCCCCCTCCATCCATTTCGTTTACTGTAGTCATATAATTTTTTGTGCATAAAACTGAAAATCACAGGGAAGTTGAACCTACCAGAAAAGAATGCCTATGTACTATTTTGCAGTGCTTGAAATAAATAGGTTCTGAGGTCCAAATGGCACTTACCATGCAGTGTACGCGCAAAAGAAATTTAACCAACTGCTGCATCTCTTTTGCATTTTTTTCTTTTGTGAGGTAAAGCAGCATTTTCCTGGCTACTCTGAGTTTGCCCATGAGAAATAGTCTCATTATTATGAATGAAATGTGTGGGGATCTGATATCTTCTAATAGCTCAGGAGTCTCGTATTTTCCTTTTTTGAGATAGGGCTTTTCTCTATTGCCTAGGCTAGAGTGCAGTGGTGTGATCACGGCTCAGTGCAGTCTCAAACTCCTGGGCTCAAGTCATCCTCTTGCCTCAGCCTCCAGAGTAGCTGGAACCACAGGCATGAACCACCATGTTTGGCTAATTTTTACATTTTTTGTAGAGACAAGGTCTTCCCCTATGTTGCCCAGGCTGGTCTTCGGCATCCTAAAGTGCTGGGGTTACAGGCGTGAGCCACCTTGCCTGGTTCATTTCTTTAAAACCCTTTATTATAAAAGAAAAGATGGTAGAAACCACATAAGTACATAGAAAACAAATTTTTATAAAGAGGCCTTATAGCTTCCATTCAGGTCAAGAAACAGATCTCCTATATCCATCCCAAAGCCTCTCTGTGTGCATTATACAAATCAACTCTCCTCCCCCTGGCAAAAGTAACCACTATACTGCTTTTTATAGTAATAACTTCCTAGAGTTTATTACAGCTTTATTACCCAAGTGTACATCACTAGACACTGTAATTGTCCATTTGTACATCCATTTTTTACTCAATGTATTTTTTTAGTACAGAGTTGTGCCACTATCACCACAATCCAATTTAAACAATTCTATAACCTCAAAAGATCCCTTGTGTCCATTTACAGTTAATTCCCATTCCTTCCCTCCCTGCCCCCAGCTCCGAGGCCATGAATTTACTTTCTGTCTCCATAGATTTGCATTTCACATACATGGAATCAAAATAATGGAATCTGCGATCTTTTGTGGTTGACTTCTTTCACTTAGCATCACTTTTTTTTTTTTTTTTTTGAGACAGTCTTCCTGTCTCCCAGGCTGGAGTACGGTGATGCAATCTCGGCTCACTGCAACCTCCACCTCCTGGGTTCAAGTAATTCTACTGCCTCAGTTTCCCAAGTAGCTGGGATTACAGGCACCTGCCACCATGCTCGGCTAATTTTTGTATTTTTAGTAGAGACGGGGTTTCACCATGTTAGCCAGGCTGGTCTTGACCTCCTGACCTCAAGTGATCTGCCTGCCTTGACCTCCCAAAGTGCTGGGATTATAGGCGTGAGCCACCGCGCCCAGCCTAGCATCATATTTTTGAGGTTAGCCTTGCCTATTTAAAAATGTTTTGATATCTTTTAAATCTATAGGTTCCCCCCTCCATCCCTTTCTTTCAAGTTATCTGTTGAAGAAGTTGGGGCATATGACCTGGAGAGTTTGTTTCCCAAAGACTGGATTTTGCTGATTGCATACTCATGATGCAGTCTTAACATGTCCTCCTGTATTTTCTGCAGATTGGCAACTGAATACAGAGGCTTGATCTGACTCAAATTTGATCCTTTCGGCATGAATAACTATACGTGGTGCTGCATTCCTTCATCAGGAGGCATGTAAATATCTCTGTCTCACTGTAATGTTAGGAGCTGTTGATGTTCAATGCTGAGACCCATTCATTTACTGGGGGGTTTCAAAAAGGTGATAACCTTAATTTTAACTTTTTTTTTTTTGAGACGCAGTCTCACTCTGTCACCAGGCTGGAGTGCAGTGGCGTGATCTTGGCTCACTGCAACCTCCGCTTCCTGGGTTCAAGTGATTCTCCTGCCTCAGCCTCCCGAGTAGCTGGGACTACAGGCGTGTGCCACCATGCCCAGCTAATTTTTGTATTTTTAGTAGAGATGTGGTTTCACCATGTTGGCCAGGATGGTCTCGAACTCTTGACCTTGTGATCTGCCCACCTTGGCCTCCCAAAGTGCTGGGATTATGGGCGCAAGCCACCGTGACCGGACAATTTCAACTTTTTAAAATTAACTGAAATACTTTCACAAAGAGAGCCTTCCCCTCATCAACTATTTGGTTACCTAGTAGAAAAGATAAAATACTTGACTATTTTCCTTTATTTACCATTTCTCAAGGTAATGGTTTTCCTTATTAGCCTCTGAGGTTGAATAATTTGGTTTTGTTTTATCATATAATTATGGATCAGGCACAGAGGCTCAGACCTGTAATCCCAGCATTTTGAGAGGCCAAGGTGGGAGGACTGCTTGAACCCAAGAGTTTGAGAACATCCTAAGATGGTGAGACCCTGTCTCTACCAAAAAAAAAAAAAAGGAAAAAAAAAAGAATGACACTTATATTGGCTCAAAAAATTATAAAAGAAAAAAAACTTTAAAAATCTGCCAGGCATAGTAGTGCATGCCTGTAGTCTCACCTACTTGGGAGGCTGAGGCAAGAGGATTGCTTGAGCACAGCCTGGGCTGAGTGAGACCCATAAATTAAAAAATATATAATTATGAACTCACAGATTTAAACATATTTGATGAGTTTCAACCAGTTGCAATTATTATTATTTTTGAGACAAAGGAGTCTCATTCCTGCCCAAGCTGGAGTGGAGTGGTACAATCTTGGCTCACTGCAAGCTCCACCTCCCAGGCTCAAGTGATTCTCCTGCCTCAGCCTCTCAAGTAGCTGGGATTACAGGCATGTGTCACCACACCAGGCAAATTTTTGTATTTTTAGCAGAGATGGGGTTTCACCATGTGGGTAAGGCTGGTCTTGAACTCCTGACCTCAAGTGATCCACCTGCCTCGGCCTCCCATCGGCCTCCCAAAGTGCTGGGATTACAGGCATTAGCCACCATGCCTGACCCACAATTACTATTTTAAAAAACTATATAAATCAACCTTTTAATTTTAGAAGTTTCCAATTTACAGAAAAATTGAGAAAATAGTACACCAAGTTCCCACATAAGCACACCCAGTTTCTTAACATCTTATATTAATAGTTTCTGTGATATAACTAATGAACCAATACTAATACATTATTAACAACTAAAGTCCATACATTACTCAAATGTCCTTAGGTTTTACCTAAAGTCCCTTTTCCATTCCAGGATCCTATCCAGGATACCACAGTACATTTTGTTGTTTGTCTCCTTAGTCTCCTCTAGGCTCTTTCTCAGACTTTTTCCTTCATTCTGATGACCTGGACAGTTTTGAAGAGTACTTGTCAGGTATTTTGTAGAAAGTCCCTCAGTTTGGGTTGCCTATTTTTTACAGAACTATATAGGGTTTGGAGGACAATACTATATATGCAACAACCTGACTTCACACTGATAATAACCCCGATCACCTGACCAAAGTGGTATCTGTATGTTTCCAACTAAAGTTACGTCTCCTCCCTCCTTCCACACTGCAGTCTCTGGAAGCAAGTCACTAAGCACAGCCCACACTTACAGGGTGAACAGTCATGCTATACCTTCTTGAAGCAGGAGTATCTACATAAAATTATTTGAAGTTTTTCTGTAGGGGAGATTTGTCTCTTCTTCCTCATTTATTTACTTATTCAATTACCTATTTCTATCACAACAGACTGGTGTGCATTCATTTTATTCCTTGTGTGATAATCCAATACTGTTAAATTTACTTTCCTGCCCAAGTCCTCCCAGTTTTGACCTGTAAGAGTTCAGCTGACTCTTGTGTTCCTTTAAAACCCCAATAGTTTTCTGAGCTCTTGTTTTCTAGTACAGAGAGCCCTGAGTTAAGATTTTTCAACTTTATGATGGTGTGAAAGTCATAGGCATTCAGTAAAAATCATACTTTATATTCTGAGATATTCAATATTTTAGCATAAAACAGGCTTTGTGTTAGATGATTTTGCCCAACTGTGGGCTAATATAAGGGTTCTGAGCAGGTCAAAGGTAGGCTACCTTAAGCTACGATGTTGGGTAGGTTAGGTATAGCAAATGCATTTTCAACTTACAATGGCTTTATCAGGATATAATCCCATCATATGTGCACTATCATCTGACAACAAGATGCTCCAGACTTATCTTGTATATTCCCCACCCCAGCCCTAGAATCAGCTATTTCTCCAAGGAGTCCTGGTTCATTTATCAGAGGATGATATTAGAAGCCAAGATTTGGGTGTTGGGTGGACTTGTTGCTACTGTTAATTATCCTCTGTGAAGCCAAATTGGCTACTGAAAACATCTTCAAATTGGCTTTTGCTATGACCCCAGTGGTCTTTGAAAGCTCCTTCCCTATCTTTTATGACAAGATGTTCCAAGCTTATCTTGTACATTTCCTGTCCCAGAATTGTGGTTAGTTATTTCTCTAAGACATCTTGATTTCTTAAAATAAGGAATATTGGGAAGAATATGTCTGTATCACAATTGGAGTTACTGGTGTACTTACTGCTACTAGGCTGGTCCTTGTTTCTAAGCCTTTTCAGTGGATAGAGCAAAAGTAGAGGTGTGTTTACTTTTAAATAAAATTTCTCATGAGTTCATATGCAGTACTATAGGGTTTAAAAAAAATCTAAATTCTTTGGAATTACATCTACATTCTTTCACATTAAAAGTCCTAGTTTTCAAAGGCACAGGATGATAGAATATCTAATAACTGCTCATTTATATTATCTCATATTCTACATGTAACTTTGACACCCCACCAATATATTTACTGAGAACTGTTAAAATTTTGCACGATTTCCCCATTTCACCATTTTTAAAAACAGTTATCTACATTATCCGGGCACAAAGGCAATACATACTCCATCTCCCTTTTAATCCTCATTTCATCTTCATTCTACAAATAACTGTACATTTAACGCTTGCCACCTGTCCTTATGTCAATGTCTCTCAACACTTTGGCTGTCTGAAGCTCATTCTCTAGCAAATTCATGGGCTCATGGGAACAATATTTCTTGAATTCCTGCATGTTGATAAATATCTGTACTCTTTATGCTTGAAAGTCAGTTTTACCAGGTATAATGTTCCTTGGCTCACATTTTTCCCTCTGAGTTTCTTAAATATTATCTGCTATTCCATTTTCTTCTGGCATAAAGTGTAGATCTCAAAAAATCTGAGGGTAACCTAAGTTTCTTTCCTTTATAAATCACCTACTATTTTTATTGAAATGTCTGTGGCTTTTCTTGTCAAGTGACTGTGGCGCTTGAGCCCTCCGGGATCAGGAGCTTAGGCCCTGCGGAGAAGCTGGGCCTGGTTTGGGGGAGCAGTTGCACCTCTTTAGTGCCTGATCCAACTCAGTGCCTCAGCCTCAGGGAATTGGAGCTTTGGCCCAGAGGAGTAGCTGTGACCCTGGTGCTTTAGTCTGCATGGTGCCTGGTCCCTGGACTCCCCCAGAGGAACACACCCTTGGCTAATCTGTATACACTGCTCTCTGGGCCAAACAGCCACAGCACCCCCACCTCCCTGGATCTAGACCAGCCCTCCAGGGTCTGAGCTGCTGAGGGGCCCCACCTCCTTGGGGAGCGAAACTAACACTGCACTGCATCCCACCCACTAGAGTTCAGGCCACAGCTATGCCCCACTGTTCCTGGGGCTGTGTTGCCACTGCACTGGGCCTCATAGAGCTTCCAGGGTCCACTATACTGTATCTTCTCTCCTGGTGCCTGAATTGCCACTGTGCCCTGCTCCTTGGAGTCTGAGCGTCTGGAACACCCTTCCCTCCCCAGAGCCATGCCAGTACTATGCCCTGACCCCCAGGATCAGAATCACAGCTACATCCCTGTCCCTGGGTCCAAGCTACTGGGTAGTGCCTCAGAGTCACAGTCCTCTGCTTAGTGGGAGAGCAGCATCCACCCATGCCTGAGACTGAACCTGCACCCATGTCACGGGTGCCACAGCAGTTCAACCAGACACTGGACCCAGGATCCAGCCACTCTGAGCACCTGTGCCTTGGAACACAGCACTGCTGTGGCTGCCTGTGGGTCATGTCACACCCAACACCAAGAGGGAATCCGCCCTGCCCGCGTTTTTAATCCCAAGAAACTTTCCTTAGTATTAACGTTTTGCATTTATTCTTTTTCCCTGCTTTGGCTTTCTTCTTCAGCTAATCCTATTATCTATATGCCAGGTCTTCTTTACTATCTTTAGTGTATTTCACTTTTCCTCAAACCCTGTTTAATATTTTTCTTTTAAAAATTTTCCTTCCTTTTACCGTAGTGGGGCATTTTCTGTGTGTGCACTCATTCTTGTTTCCTTTAGCCTATATTTCTGAAATGATTCATGTTCCCCAAGTTGTCACATTTCTGAGTTTCTCTAATCCAGCTTTATATTATCCTTCCATGTCCTATGTTATTTTCTGAGTATCTTCCAACTCATTTTTACATACCATGTTTCAGATTTGTTCTGTTTTTTGAGCATGTCTTTCTGGAGTGTTTTCTTTTTTTTCTCTTCTAATAATTTTGTGTAGAATTTGACTTTGGTAATTTCTGCTCCCTTTTTTCAGTGTTGAGCTGTATTTCACAAACCATAAATCTACCCACTTAAAAGTGTACTTTTTTTTTTTTTTTGAGACGGAGTTTTGCTCTGTTGCCCAGGCTGGAGTGCACTGGTGCAATCTCGGCTCACTGCAACCTCTACCTCCCGGGTTCAAGCAATTCTCCTGCCTCAGCCTCCCAAGTAGCTGGGACTATGGGCACGTGCCACCATGCTGGGCTAATTTTTTTCTTTTTTGTATTTTTGTTTTGCTTTGTTTTTATTTTTATTTTTTACTTATTTTCTTTCTTTTTTGTATTTTTAGTAGAGATGGGGTTTCACCATGCTGGCCAGGCTGGTCTTGAACTCCTGACCTTGTGATCTGCCTGCCTTGGCCTCCCAAAGTGCTGGGATTACAGGTGTGAGCCACCATGCCCAGCCCAGTTCAGTGCTTTTTATTCAGAGTTGTGCAGCCATCACCACAATCTGCTGTTCATTTTAATGTCAAATACGTGTTTCTAAACTTGCAGAAAGAAGGAAGGTTCAGAGTAGCTTTTCTAACTCATGGAGGCTCGTTTTCTGCTGTTTTTATGTACATTGAAGAAATATGGTTACTTGCTTGATTGGAGTTCCTCATTCTGGTCCTGTCTCCTAACTTCATCTGGACCTTTTCTTTCTTTCTTTTTCTATTCCTGTCCCGCTTAATTCAATTCTACTCTTAGCAATTTCTCCTCAGTGTGAGTCTCTGACCTGGAAAGGAGATCTGCTGGATCAATTTGAAGAGTCCATTAAGGACTAGACTACTCCATCCCTTTTGGACCTTCGGACTATGGGTCCCTAATACTCATCCCTCCCAGTTTCAACTGCAGTTCTTAAATTGGACTGCCATACTTTCTAGGGAATATGCCGTTTTGGAATTCTGTTTGTCAAGTTTCTCAGATGGCCTGTCAACTCCAGCTTTCTCCTACACAGATGCCAATAACTGCTGGATCTCGTGGCTATGGGTAATTTGCCCTTATCTGTTTTTTTTTTTTTTTTTTTTTTTGTGAGGTTCATGGAGACACACTGCCACCTATTTTCTTTCTTTTTTTTTTTATTCTGTCACTCTTAGGATATGCTTAAGTTACTAAATGTAAACTTTTTTTTTTTTTGAGATGGAGTTTCGCTCTTGTTACCCAGGCTGGAGTGCAATGGCGCAATCTCGGCTCACGGCAACCTCCGCCTACTGGGTTCAAGCAATTCTCCTACCTCAGCCTCCCAAGTAGCTGGGACTACAGGTGTGCGCCACCATGCCCAGGTAATTTTTGTATTTTTAGTAGAGACAGGGTTTCACCTTGTTGACCAGGATGGTCTCGATCTCTTGACCTCGTGATCCAGCTGCCTCGGCCTCCCAAAGTGCTGGGATTATAGGCGTGAGCCACCATGCCCGGCCCCCTATTTTCATCGTAAATATTGTCCATGGGTTTTTTTCATATTCACTGAAGTATAACATACATATAGAAAAGTATGCTCAGTGAATTCTCACATATTGAACACATCCATGTAATCAGTACCCAGATCAAGATACAAAATATTTCTAACTCCTTAGAAGCCCCTGTAGGTCCAGTTCCATTTATGATCCCCAACTAAGGGTGAACATTTACTGGCTTTCAACCAGCACACACAAGTATCACCTGTTTTTGGAAGTTTATATGAATGGAATCAAACAGTATACTCTTTTGCATCTGGCTTTTTTCACTCATAATTAGGTTATGAGATTCAG